TAGCTCCTCTAGGTCAGCTTTTTCCAAAGTGTTTTCCAAAGAACACCGACTCTAAACTTCCTGTGGGTGGGCAGGTTGGGAAGGTGTGGTTACTCAGCAAGGCTCCGAGCCATGGTAATAAACCGTGACATAAATACCCAAGAGGAGGATGCAGGTGGTAGCATTGCCCAATCTCACTCAACCCCAGAGCAATCTTTCCCCTGCTCTTCCTTTCTCCCTCTCTCCCGCTGTTCTTTGTACCCAGAGCATCTCCCAGGAACTCACTTTTAAATGCTGATCTAAATTCCAATGATCTAAGTTGCTGGACGCTGGAATTCGCGGTGAAGTCCCAGTTCTCACACACAAACGTGCATTAGAGTAACCCGGAGACAGTGTGAAAGGAGATGGTCCATGATCACAGCGGACATGCACAGGACTCCAGAGCTTACCTCACCCCCAACTTTACTGATGACTCAGAAGACACAGGCAAGCACAGGCACAGGGTGACATCGCTTTCCTGGAGGCGCCCCGAACCATCAGATACAGCTTACTAAACGTGGGTTTTGGTTTCAGATCAATATGAAGTGGTATGAGCAGCACACGTGAAAACACTGCTCTCAGGGCTCTGCAGGTTTGACCTGCTCACTGCACAGTTGGAGGCTGCCTCTTTCCCGTGCCCCGCACCCTCCCGTGGACGGGGCTCCAGCGGCCCCCATGCTCCACATCCAGGAACAAGGGTGTTGTCTACCTCAAAGCTTCTCCGTCAGGGCCTCCACAGGCAAATGCACTTAGCTTGGTTCCAAGGAGGCCGGTCAAGGTTAGTCCTGCCCCCGTGTCTCCAGCTGGAAGGGAGAGCTGCACCTGCTTCAACCCTTTCCTCACCAAAGAGCTCATCACCAGAGACTCTGATTCAGCAGGTCTGACCCACGTCACACCCACCTCGTGTTCTCTAAGGACTCACCACTGTGCCTGCCAGAGAGTTTGCCGTCCCCCAAGGCAGCTCGTGTCATTCTTACGAAACGGTTCAAGTGTTCTTTCTAATGTTTGGTCAAATCTGTGGATACCGTCTCCACTCACTGGGCACATTCTGACCCTGTGCGGGGACGGGTAAGCCTAGACCCTCTTTCGAATGACAACCTTGTGGGTAGTTGATGACCTCATTCCTCCCTGGCCCTCCCTCCGTTCAGGTGGAACATGTCCAGTTCTGGCACATGGGGGTCTCTCTTCACCGTCATAGCCACTTGGCTTCAATTGATTCCAGCTGGCCACTTTTTCCGTAGCTCAACTCAAAATTCCCGTGTAAGTCTGATCAGCGTAGACTTGATGAAACTATCACGTCCCTCATTCTAAGCCTTGCGATAATTTGGCCTAAAAATAAAGCATCAGTTACTTTTAACAGGCTACGTTTATTGAGCATTATTTTAGCTTTCTATTGCTTCCATAACAAATTACCACACAAATACTTAACTCTCCGTTCATTAGAGAAGGTAC